TCCTCTCCTCTCTCTCTCTCTCTCTCTCTCTCTCTCTCTCTCTCTACTTTGATCTCTTCCTTCTCTTCCTCAAACTCCGCATGTATAAATGCACATCTTTTATGTGACTTTTTTTATTTCCTCAAATATATATCAGTATAAATTTTGCAAATAACAAAGAATTTTCCTATTTATTCTCTTTACAATCGAAGTATACATCATTACAAACAATATACTACTTTACTTTGAAGAATTTAATTTACGTTTACTAACATTTTGAAGTACGATGGAAATTACCTATTGGAAGTATAATCCTGCATAATCTCTTTTTATAAATTTATAAATTATTAGTTGTTAATTAAATAATATATTAATATTAATTATTAATTGTTAAAATGTATAAATTTAGTAATTGTCGATTTTAAACAGGTATATATTTTTATTAAATAAAAGCACTATTATTATTAAAAATAATATTCAGCAAATCGATGCTAAAAACGATCGATTTTACGTTCTCCAAGTCTCCTTAACTCTTCTTAACTACGCCTCTTCCGATGGATCTTCTGGACATTACATATCCCCTACTATGATCGAGATCGGTTAGCTGGGTGTTAATCGATGATGTATTGGCGATGACATCAATCAGGATTCGGTCCGCAGATTCCTCTCGCACGATCGGCTCGTAACAGCACGTCTCGTAACCAGACGTTCCATTTATGTTCCGTCGATGACGCGACTCATTACAACTAACGATGTCATGCCTAGCGGCTCAGTTCGTTTCCCGTTGTTGTTCTCACCGGGTGGTCACGCAAGAGCTTTCGCGGCTTTAGGTCAGACGCGAACTCTCGATCGTTCCAGGGAGTGTGAAAAGTGCCAATCTTGAATTCTAAATACGTAGCTGCAGAGGTACGTAAGATATCTCCAAGGCAATGAGTAGAGAGCATTGTTGCGAAACATGGAAATTTATAATCGCAGATGTGTCATCTCGGACGAAGTATAAGCAACTTAGACATACGTCTCTGTTTGTTGCTATGATACATCTCAACTTTTTTGCTACTTTTGAAATGATAAAATGTGGATTTATCTAATTATTATCATCAAAATAATTTTAAGATGTCGTTTGCGTCTTTGGCATACAATGTTTTAACACAGGTAATGAATCCACAGTTTCTTAATATAGATTTTACAATTTCTTAAGACAATTTCTTAAGTATTTATCATCTATGTGAGTTGTAAGTAAAAAAATAATAAAAATATATTACTTATAAAAATATAAGTAATAAAAATATGTTTTTTAATTAAGTATTTAATTTAAAAATAATTTAATTTAAATTAAGTGTTAATTTTGTATTAAGTATTATTAAGTAGAAATATTTTAATTATTAAATATAAATAAATAAAAATATATTTTTTAATTAAGTAACAATATAAAAAATTCTGTACATTCGCGGTAAGGACAGGATCTCTATCCTTGAAAAGATTATTCAGGCTATTAGGTATATTTTCGGTATATTATTTACGTGAACCCGCCGCCGTTCTTCTTGGTTCTTCTGCTCGAATCGGAAGGTAGCTATTACGTAAATGTTTAATTATAGTATATCTACCGAGGCTCCCGTCGATGATCATTGTTCGTTGCGTAAAACTTTTCTAGACGTTAATTGATGCGTAAAGGCGTAGCAGTGCACTTCCTACGAGTGGCAAAACCTCTCTAGATTTCCTATGCCCTGCCAAGAAAACGGAAGCGGCTAGACTTATCTAATCGTTGCCGAGTTGGTGCGGAAAGGAAATTGTTTCTTGCGTGATATTTGCTATGCTTGAGAAAGTAGCACGCGTTTCTTCTAACGCGTTCGTCGCGAAAATTGCTTTAAGCCTTTTAGCGAATCAGTGAAATTGCCAAAGCGATTGCGAGTAAAACTCGTGTAAAAATTTAATGACAAGTAATTGCAAGTAATATTTTCTATTTCTTTTACACGCCTTAAGTCGTCTTTTTCTTTTTCTTTCTTTTTTCTTTTTTTTTTAAAATTAGGTTAATAATTAACAATGTTATGTTTCTTTTAAAAGTTTGAATCACATAATGTAAAAGCTATGGGATTTGTATATGGACATGTTTTGTAGTTATTTTAAGAAAATTTAATTACAGATTTTTATTTCGTTGTACGCAGAAAATAATCGAACCTGACTTTATTAGTAGATTTCGAGATAATTATAATATATAAAATAAAATATTATAATTAATTATACTGTTTGATTAACTTTATTTCTCACTTATCTCACCTTTATAGGTAAATATTTAATAATGAGACTATTTTAACACGGTATAAATATATAAGCACATAAAAGCATGTTGTAAAGATTCCTTCGTTTCCGAGGCCATAAGGCGCCTAAGATGTCTAACAGGTCAGGTATTACCGACCCTTAACGAAATTAATCTGCCCTTCAAAGGGTTAAGGAATTACGAGAGGCAAGGCTATTATCTCTTTCGCTTGAATCATTGTAAGAACTTAAAAACGAAGTTCATTACTTGCATGGCTACCTAACCAAGGTCAAGATGTCAAGAGGCCAAGATATTGCTTAAAGGTCTCTTAATAATGCGTCTCGCGATCGGCAGAGTGGATAAAATGAAAGATCGTCTGAATAATTTTCTGATCAAAACTCATTGTTGAGCAAATCTTAATACGACGAAACGAAGATTCGTGCAAAGTTAATCTGCTCAACATAAAAAATAATTAATTTTCTATAGCTTTGATTGCTATTTGATTGCTTATCGTTTGCATATGAGTTTACATTTCGTCTTTTTATTTGCTTGCATTTAGCAAAAAAATTAATAATTTTGGAGAAGGCCAACTTTGTAAAATAGCCTCAATGATAAATTTTCCTTTATACAATCCCATTTTTAACGAGTTTGCATACCTTTAGTTAAAAAATTATTAACAAATGAATTTCAAGAGAGAGAGAGAGAGAGAGAGAGGAGAGGGCAAATTCAATTTTTTGCTTTTTATTCATTTTTTGAAAATAACAGAAGATAGGCATTGCAATTGCGAGAGTAGATACGTCGCGAGGATCACTCAAGCCTTCGAGTGTGTGAAGTCAGGCTTATCGACATCCCATAAGATTACGTTCCGATGATTCTACCGAGAACACCGTCAAGTTCCTTGCCATAGCGAAGACAGGTATCTTCGATCACGCTTTCTTCTTATGTGACGCTGCTGTCACGGTTGAGCGCCAACGATAACAACGCTCGAGATTTCTTCATTTCTCGGGACGATCGCACGTCATCAGAAGCATTTGTTAGGTGATTTCTCGCGTTATAACAAGTTGAAAAAAAAAGAAAAAAAATGCTATTAACTTCGATTTCGCAAAGATTGTATAGAATACATAAGAAATCATCAGCAAGATAAGAATAAATTACTAATAATGAAGAGAACTATTGATAATACAGGTGGATTGGATTTTATCATATTTTGTTTGCACACTTTTTTTTTTATCTAAGCAGTGCATGTAAAAAGTGAAATAGAAAAGATTACTTTAAAATTAAAGTTTTGTTTTACTGGAAGATGTTAAAAAAGTGCTAATTTTGATTTCCATGGTGATAAATAAAAATGATTTTTTATAGTTCTTGAGCTGCAGAAATTTCTGTCTTTCAAAAAATTTTAAGAATGTTTTTTAGAATAAGGTTTTTTATCACACACCTTAAATATAAATCGTTTACTTAAAAGAAGTTGCAATTCAAACTCTACGCAATAGAGTCAAATAATATGTTGATGAAAATTACTAGGTATAGTTACCTATATTGAGAGAAACATATAATAATAGTCTAATAGTTTGGTCGAAAATTTATATTACAAAGTCTAATTAACGTTTATTTAAATTTGTGTTTCACGATGTTTTCCCTTCTCTCAGTTTTGAGAGATCTAAAGGAAGACGTCGGTCCCTATTCTCAAGTATTGACTAATATTTTTTTATTCAATGCTTTACGCAGTAAGCGTTATACCGTGGGAACCACCGTTAATCGCAGAATAGATTTCAGGGTGAGCGGGAAAGTTACTAGTTATGGTAATTCCAAAGGGTATACCTTGCGAAGCAGCAGATTAACTCTCATTGTCCAACAAAATCCGGAACAAAAAGATATTTCTTGTTAAACCGCCGGCGTTTAGAAAGTACACTTACTTTCTTTGTTCCCTCAGAAAATCGTAGCTTTCGTCGATTTCCGAAGATGCTGATCTGATGGCCGATTTACTTTTTCACTTGCTTGCAAAGTATCACGAGGTGGCTGTGAAATTGCAGCGACAGGTGACTTGACCAGCTTAACAAAAAAAGAAAAACAGAAACGTAATTCTCTTTGGAGAAAACAAAGTCGCGATGAATAAATGACAAGCATAAGGAGTATTAGTTGTTAATCATAGTTTTACAACTAATTCTCTTCAGAATTAAAATTACTGCCACATGGCATATTTGATCGCTGTTAGTTCAATTTTACATAATCTTGCTTCTTTTTCAAGATTGGACAACTAGTAACTAGTTAAAAAGTTGAAAGTTAATTAATAAAGTTCAAAGGTTAATAACGTTCAACTTAGTCAGTTTTAAATAAATTAATTTATAACTTCAACTTATTTTTAAAATACGTGAACTTTAACTTATGAACTTTTTTTTCTAAGTTAAAAATTTATCAATGTAAGAAGAAAAGATTCTCGTTAAAAAAAAAAAAAAAACTCTCGTTCCTATATAAAAGAAAATTTCTTTGTTATCTTATATAGATAAACTTAATTTACAAATAAAATATTAAATTTGTTCGATGATCCGTATTGTAATTATTTTATTATTTATAATATTTTATAAAAAATTACACATTCCAAATTCCGACATTCTAATTTATAGAATATATATTCTCTTATAAATAATGCTTTTTAAAATTAACTTTTAATTTTACTGAATTTAATTGAAAAATATTAACTTATCCAATCCTGTTTTTCAGTATGCCAGATTCTTCTCATTTTTCAAAATAATCTTGTGCATTATTCCAGGTCAGCCTTGCAGACGTTGCACAAGGTATCCGGAAAAGCACGCGAGCAAAACTATTTTCTGGGTGGACTGTCGCATGACTGGGTCAGTTACTATGAGCAACGAATCGAGAGCGATCGGTCGTGCCTCAACGAGTGGCATGCCATGGACAATCTGGAGTCTAAGAGACCGCCGTCACCGGACAGCGTACGCACCAAGTGAGTCCGATTGCTTCTGTTCTTCTGAGAACGGCGTCTCGAAGAGGAGCCTGTCTTCAGGACAGGAAGAATGTCCGACGATCGCTCTTTCCGATTGGCAATGGCATTGTATGCGTTGCATTCAAAAATTTAATGCTTCCAGGAAGAGGCTTTCTCCTTGACATTTTCGATTTCGCGAACGTTCGATTTTAATATTCCAATACGTATAACATGCCGAGATTCGTGAAACAGCTGGCCATCGCAAATTTAGCTTGGTACCGTGCCAGAGTTTGGGTCGTTTGTTGATGCGCCTTCTTCGGTTGTCTCACATCGCGTTGGGTTACGCGCATAAGTGGAGCATAACTTCATAGCCGTCCTTCAATTATTTCCAGTTTCTACGTCTACTCCTTTTCGAACTGTGCTTTAAACATTTGGAGATTATTGGGTCACTTGGATTTCAATATTACGAAATACTGGAGGAAGTGCACATGGGAGGCAGACGTAGCTGGAAATTTTTTTAATTTAAATCTTTGTATATATTTATTTATACATTTTTATATTCATAAATATAATAGTTGGCAGAACAATGACTATAATAATTAATGAAAAGTACATTTGTATTACATTATACGGACGGATAAGTATAACAAGTATAATACATTGGACAATTATTTGCTGAAAAACTTAACTAATTTCCTCTATTTGATTTTAATTTAATTAAATTAATCTTTTTAATTTATTGCAAGATAAATAGAGATATTTTTGTGATATAGGCCCAGAGAAAGAGAAGAAACCGAGCGCGTGATTCGATCGACATTGAAAGAGATCATGATGTCAGTGGACCTTGATGAAGTTACTTCCAAGTATATTAGAGGTCGACTTGAAGAGGATCTTGACATGGACCTCGGAGAATTCAAGCCATTTATCGATCAGGAGATGCTCACCATACTGGGGCAAATGGATGCGCCTACTGAGATATTCGATCATGTTTATCTCGGCAGCGAGTGGAACGCTAGCAATTTAGAGGAACTTCAGAAAAATGGGTGCGTTTCATCACATTGTATTTACTTCTTACATATTCTCACTGTAAATTGCATAGCTTATCATCTTATCTTCTTGATTTTATCACGATATATGATATATTTCCAATATTTTAATCACCTATAAAGGCAATAATCGATTTAAAATTGAGTTTTACCATCATTTAAATCATTTTTTTGTATCTTTAAATAAGTATACAAGGATATAATTGTTTTTATAAATATTTTTTTAATGTTTAATGAAAAAATCTCTAAATATACACAGGAATATACCGGGTAACCTGCCCGCATTACTTCCTGAAGTGATTCGGACTATTCCCTCACCCCTCAAAAAAAGTTATATAAACATCACAGATCTGATCCTCTTGGCATCTCTCCTTTATACATTTTTTTAAAGAAACTATAAAATAAATACTGACTAATAAATACTAATATATTAATATACTAATATGCTAATATACTAATATAGTTTTATATTAATAAATACTAAGAAATAAATTGATTATTATGATTATGAAAAATAAATATGATTTTTTTAAACATAAAAGTGGATATAATTCGGAAATAATTCATTTCCTATGTTTATATAGCTTCTTTTTTTTCTTTTTGGATTTTAAATCACTTCAAGAAGTAATACGAGCAAGTTTCCAGACACCCTGCATATTATAATTGAAAATAATATTTGTAAAGTGAAAAAATATTGAATATGCTTCTTCATCTCGACATGTATTTTTATATGTGGTTGCTAATTAACTCTACATTTTTTTTATCATATATTTTCAGTGTAAGGCACATCTTGAATGTTACTCGGGAAATTGACAACTTCTTTCCGGGAATGTTCACGTATTTGAACGTACGTGTATATGACGATGAGAAAACAGACTTGTTGAAGCATTGGGATAACACATTCAAATATATTACTAAGGCCAAAATGGAGGGCTCCAAGGTGTTGGTGCACTGCAAGATGGGAGTGTCTCGTTCTGCTTCCGTGGTGATAGCTTACGCGATGAAAGCTTACAACTGGGATTTTTCCCAGGCATGGAAACACGTCAAGGAAAAGCGCAACTGCATCAAGCCTAATAACAGTTTCCTTCTGCAACTGGAAACATATCAGGGTATTCTGGACGCAATGAAGAACAAGGAGAAGCTCCAGAGATCCAAATCCGACACGAATCTGAAATCTCCCACGTCCGCGAAGGATCAATCAAAAAAGGAGGAAAAATCGAATAATATAGAAAACAATATGCAGGAGGTTTCAGGTTCGGAGTTGAAGAAAACTAGCCAAAGACCAAAAAGTTGGTCGCCAAATGTCAAAGTTGCTGAAAATATGTTACCTTCCGGTAAATATATATTTATTGTTCTGATATTTTTAATCAATTTCCTTAAATAAATTGTTTTAAGAAATTTAGAATTAATTATTAATAGAAAGTATCTGAATGTATATAACTTGAATTTAAACAAATGTAAAAAAATTTTTAATCGATATATATATTATATAAGGTAAAAAGAGAAATAATTTATTTATATAATTGAAATAAATATTTCAATTAAAATTAGAAATTATATATTTTACTATTAGAAATAAACATTCTCATTACTTGTCTCGAATGTTTCAGTTCCTTTGTCACAGTCGTTGGAAAGTATCGACAAGGCAGGAAATACGGAAGTTACACGGGAGGATCTTCTTCGTGGCTCGAATCAAAAACCGGCAATGGAACAGGAGGCTCGCAATGTTCTAATGCCTTGCGATAATGGGCAATCTTATAGCGTGTCGCAAAACAAAATAATGCACCTACCCGCCCCGCTAATCCCTGGCACACCTAGCGTAAAAAATAGAATTAGTAAGTTAGAAACTCAGGGACAGAAAAGAAAAGGTCTGGTTCTCAATCTAACCAATCAGTTTGAAGCAGCCAGCAGTAAACCGTCATCGCCGGGATCCGATTCGGACGCGAGATCTCTATCCCAGAGTTTAATTACGGAAGACAATGCGAAGCCAGTCGAGAATAGCCACTCGTATTGCGAACAGTTACAGGAACCGCGAGATACCATGGCTTCCGCCCCAAAAGATCCTTCCGGAAAGGAAGTTTGGGATCCTGGTGAGGAACAGAGAGAGAGGAGGAACGAAACGAGTCAAAAGTCCACCGAGATCAACGATAATAGTGAATGTCTAGTCTGGACTGCGTCTACGGATACAACGTATGCTGATTCGTGTGATGACAATAAAACTGATAAAACCGAGTGTGTGGAGACAAGTGAGTGTATTACAAGTGCAGCGACGGATACGACTAATGCGACACCGATTATAATAACGACGATCTCGACCACAGCGACGATAGGAGGAGGAGCGGCAACGTCGTCGACGTGTCACGTCGATGTTTTAGGGAAAAAGGCGAGGAAGGACGGTGATCCGTTCAGTGCCCAGCTAGACCGAGTGTTTGATCGCGAGGAAAGACGAGGTGAACCCACTACAAGGGAATCTCCGAGTCGGCAAAGTTCCTGGAGCAGTTACGACAGTGCAGTGATTCTCGACAACAATTCGGTACATAGCTCCTGGGCTACTTTACCATCGAGGAACAGTTCCTGGGGCTCTTATGACATGCGGCCATCTGATCTACTTGGTTCTAGTGGTTTGTTTCCATATGATAAGGAAGAGATACCATGGCATCCGGGTACAGTAAAGCGCACTAAACAGAAATTAGAGGAAGGCACAACTGCGGGCGAAGTAAAACGTGTGTGCACGCAGAGCTCAACAACCGCGGACGACAAAATTGAGACGTTAAGTACCGAGGTAGATGCGGTAACGGTTGAGGCGTACAATCCGATGCTGTTGCATCACATGCCGTCACCAACGTTGCGAAGAAGAGATTCATCGCCTACTCAGGAACATAATCTTAAAGTAGAAACAAATAGAGACTCACCGAGTCCGGTAGGCAGCATCGATATTTCCCTTACGTCCATGCGCCAGATCGGAAGATTGTCTACAAGCGCCCCCGCGCCGTCCTCTCTATCCGAGTCCGATCTGCCTCTGTCTTTAAGATCCTGTAGATCGGAAAGTGAGACGTCCAGTCCATGCGTCGTCAACACCACCCAGTGCCCCTCCGTGAAACATCACAAAATGGTCTTGGAAAATCTCTGTAACAAGTCCGTGTTCAATAAGCGTTGCTTCTCTGTGGATGACTCGCCGGAAGCAGAGTGTCCGCGTAGCACGTCTGGCATAGTAAAAAATCTGAAGAAAGAATTTGAAGCAAAGTCGACCAAGTTGGAGAGAAGTCCTGAAAACGTATGTGAAGGCGAAAACACGTCATTGACCGCGCGACCCAAGAGGGACGTGAAGATCAGAAGTTTGCCCTCGTCGCCGGTGATCCCACACAACGAGTCCAAGATTCAGTCGTCGTCCAGTGTTGGCGAAACCAAAGACAGCAAGCATGGTAGAAGGAATGAAACAACAACACCGTCATCGCAAGACAACGCGGAAGATCTCTCTGTCAGAGTTTTGGTAGGAAAGTACGAGGTCGCCAGGCCGAATTCTAGAAAAAGCTCGGACGTGCAGTTACGCGTACACAAAGACAAAGATTGGGATACGATGGAAGTTCATCCACCGGCAAAATCGAAGATTGCTCCCGAATTTTCGAGGAGATCAGCGCCGATTATGATTAACAATCACACCTCCGCACCTCTGTTCAACGAGACGTTGGAAGCCCCCGGCAGGCCGCCGGCGGTACCCTCGCCCAGTGTAGTCATGGCCAGCGTAGTGGCGAAGGCAGCTAGCAAGAAACAACAACAGCATGGCAGAACCCATCCCCTCGCTAGGCTGCAGGTCAGGCCTAGGCACAGCAGTCCTGTTTACAATACCATGTAATGTGGAAACGATAGTCTTTTGTTTTTCGTTTACGGATTCTTAAACGTAACGCGAGTACAGCGCATCTAATGCGGACGAGAGTATTCACGTGGGTACGAGTATTACGTGGATACGTCGCCGTGACGATGAAATCGTGTGATCTCTTTATGTTGGCGATGAAGATTGGGTTTTCGGAGCCAAGGCAATTGCACCTGTTGTTTTAAGAATAGATCTTTTTCTTTGTCGTTCTCTTTTCTTTATCGCTGCAATCGCTCGTACAGCTATCGCCCTGTTCATCGAAAAGAACAACCTTGTCATTTCGATAATCGTAACGTATCGATGATGTATCTTATTATCTACAATCTCGCGTAAGTGTTCGGATCTTTTTGTAACGACAGGCGCTTTATGTTCCTTCTTGTCAACGTGTATCTTGGCTTGACGTTAGTTCAATTATTTTAAGCTGGAAATGCAACAATCACGAGGCTGCGCGTCGAGAAGAGGGTCAACGTAATTTCAGGAAGGAATAATTGTATAGATCACTTTGTCATAATTTAGTGGGCTTGGAATCAAACGTGCGTTAAGTAGTGAAAAGTGATTTGATTTATTGCGCGAATGACTAATGCGAAAGGCGAAGATTTTAATCCGCAAGAGAACAAGAAAGAAAGAAAGAAAAACCGGGTGCTCAGTCAGGCTGTGAATGTAAGGTCTGAGCCTCGGATGCACGCTGACCTTTCTTCTACTTCGCTTTCTTCATCTTTTCTTTTTTTTTCTTTTTTTTCTTTTTTTTTTTCTTTTTTTTTTCTTTTTTTTTCGTCGGATAACGATGTTACCGCGTGAGACGATAAATCTCCGATTTTCGAAACGACTTTATCGATTTTGTCGTGACAGAAAAAAATTATACGACGAGACCTCGAGATAATGTAATATTAAGTAACACTACTAGTAATTTATAGGTGATAATGTGATTAGAGTGATGCACAGTATGCGAGAATACGATGTGGTGAAGTGTGTTTTCTGTTGAGCGACTGTTTTTAAAAGCATGAGTGCATTCGGAAAGGGGGGTACCGAAATTCACGCGAATTTCTAATCGATTCCAAAAAATCCAAAAGTAAATTTTCCTGATCTTTCACATCAGCGGTCATATTTTATTCATAAGCATGGAAAATTGGTTAGTCAAAAACAATAACATTGAACGAGTGGATTAGATTTCTCTTAAATCGTAAGTAATTACAAATAATTTTAGACTTCTATTGTCTCTTACTTATAACATATATGCTGCAACAATTTCGATTTAATGAACCAGATCTCATTAAATTTCATTGAGTGATGAGATCGTCGCCTCATGCGTCTAGAATATATAATTATATGTACAGATTGTATCTTCACTGTTTTGATCCAAGTCTCTTAGGCTGACAGGACTGTTGTTCTCGCGAATTAGGTACCTCTCTTATTCATTAATTGTTATTAACTTGCTCTTTGTACTCCTACTACTATAGATTGTCCTTATCTTAATTAATTCAGCTCGATTGATCGTGTAATGCTTTTCAACAGCTGACGATGCAGCAATGATAGTGCATCAGTTCCGCTATTGACTCCCGTAAGTTGAGAAAGTGCGTATGAAATAGCGAGGAAAAATGTGTGTTGATCTTCTTGGGTGCATGCGCGTACTATACTGTACTTCTTTATCAATCGACCTGGAGCACATTATATCTGTCAATATTTTTTTAAACACATATCACCGACTCATCGTTAATTTTGTAAATTGTGAACGTTCCCATTATGTCGTGAAATTTAGTTAGATAAAAACGAAGGAAACCCAATTCATCGCGCAAATTGACGACCAATTTTATACTCTGATGTATTCTGACGAATACAACCGCTGCTAAGAGGCGCCTCACGAGCGCATCGCGATTATCGTGTATAAATATATTTTATTACAAACAGATTTCTTAACCACATTAGGCTCGTTGATCGTTTAGATTGTAGATGCGGACGAAAAATGTCCTGAAACGTGTAGTTTTCCGAATAGTCTGTTGGATCGCACCTAGAGATTAACTATTACCTACTTATATGATTAAGTACAATCGGATGCAATTTAGAAGGAGAAAGATCTGTTTTCTCTGCAACATCTTGCAACATCTTGTTGGGATGATCCTTTAAGCGCGAGAGTTGCGGAGAGTGAAGTTTCAAAGTCTCGAATATTATCCAAATGTCGAGTTTGGAATATACTTGGATGCACAAGATTTCGATAACTTCCATACTGGAATCCGATGTGGATCGGATCTCCAACCACGCCGCAAAAGTATTATAAACAAAACGTATCGTCTTTGGCGCAAGTATTACAAAAAAAGAAAAAAAGAAAAATACGCGATGCGCTTTCTGCTCTCTCACCGTGTTTGTCCACGAGCAATCTTTTTCTATACCGTGTCGCTTATCAACCGATCGATTTGCTCGTGTTAAGTAAGTTTGTATTGTCACAAATCGATGTGCTCAGTTTTAGTGATTGTCCCCTGTCCCTTATGTCCCTTCCTTCGAACCGCTCCAATCCTTATCTCTTAAGTTTTGCTTAAGTGTGTGCGTTCGTTCGATACGAGAATTTGCTGTCATATGAGAAATGATGATAAAACCGTACGTTGTTCTGTATAAATTTTGTACTATAGTTTGTATTAAATAAAATACATTGTTTATTGCTTGAGACAGCATGTGTCATTTCTTTCGGGAAAAACAAAGAAAATAATTATAGCATCTATTTTTATTCTACAGCTTTCGTTATTTAATATTTCTAATAAGTTTTGTACGTTGACATTTTATTTCGATTTTTATATGTTAAGAGAAATAAATTAAAGCATTTATCAAATTAAAAAAAAAAAAAAAAAAAAAACGGAAATCGGTGGGTGTGAACCTGAACTCTAATAAGAATACTTTAAATTCTGCATTTTACAAAAAAAAATGTATTTTTATATGTTTATACTTTTTATATTTATTCATCAAACATAGATTATATTAAGTTATGATTGTAATATGTTAGTTGATTCCATCCAAAGCATTTTCCAAAATGCTTTGAATTTGCTGCAAGTGATTGTTAAGCACGGTTAAATAGTTTTCTCTTCTATCTAAATATTCTTTTATATCGATTGAATGTTGTTCAGCAAATGCTTTTATCTATAATAGAATATTAATTAATTAATCAATTAAACTATTTCATACAAGAATAAATCATATATTTAATTTTATCATTTAAGTTAATATAGAAAGAAAACATGTATATTTTTAAATTCTAAATAATGTTTTCATAAGAAAATAAAATGTGAATGTTAAATAATGAAAAAACTAACCTTATCAATTTGTTCTTGTTTGGAACTCTTCATAATTATGTCCGAAAGAATTTCATTCTTAGCACTGTAAAAGATTACAAAATTGTTTTAATTATGCTACATATAATTACATTAATCAGTATTTTAGAAAATTAATATTAATTGTAATAAACAGAAATTATTTATAAATGTAAATGGCTTATATATGTGCATGTGTGTGTGTGTGTGTGTGTGCGCGCGCGCGCGCGCACACACACACACTATATATATATATATATATATATATACAATCATATAATCATATTTAATCAATTAGCAATTTCATTATCCTGAATACACAATTTATATAATTTTGATTAAAACATAATTTTACTTACTCTTTAAACTTCTCGTATTTATTAATGAACAATTCAATCGCTATATCAACATTTCGAAGATTGAGTAAATAAAAATTTATGTCATTTTCTGTATTCACAGTGGAATCTAAATGTTTTTCGATGATGTGCAAATTCTCTGTACATCCAAAAACAGTCCTATGAGATTTTGATGTCTCGTATTGTATTTGCAAAAACTGATCCCAAATAGATTCATTCGCCTTCATTAAACCAAAGCAATACATTTCTTCTTGATTCGGTGATAGTCTGATACGAATTAGAAAAATAATTATGATTTGATAAAAGATTTATATAAATTAAAAAATATTTTTATTTTAGTATGTTATTTTTAGTAAAATGTAATGTAACAATTAAGAAAATTATTAATATTAAATCTTTTTAATTTGTTAAATTATAACTAGAAGATTATGAAAAAGATTATAAAAAAGATTTAATATTAATTAATAATATTAATTAATTTAATATTAATTCTCTTATATTATTGTATTACATCTTACTAGGAAATAATAGCGCTAAAATAAAAATATTATTTAATTTACATAAACATTCAAAAATAATGATTCAAAATCTGATAGTTATATTTTATCATAAATTATTTTCATATTAAAATAGATTGGATGTAAAAATTTGCATTACTATCATGTATTTAATTAGGTTTTAGATTAGACAAATTTTTTTGATATATTTTTTTAACTTACTTGTTTGCAATTGGGTCTTCTATATATGCAAGTACTTTAGCAGTAGCTTTTATTCGACATTCCGAAAGATCGTACATACAGTCGTAATTATATAGATAAGTCCTAACATATATAGTCGAAACATCGTCATCTGGATTCTCGTCAAAATCAATATACTCAAATAGTTTATGCACTAAATGAGATAAGAATGGCTTTAAAAAAAAATGTATTTAATTATCAAGCAACTGACAGATTAAAATGTATTTTGAGATATCTTGTTTACTTCTTAACATATTATCTTTTTCTTATAATCGCTACATAATAGTTCTTTAAACAGATTTTCCATGACATATATGTAATATAGTTTACCTTAAGAATTGCTATTCCTTTAGGTATCTCCATATATTTTTCAAAATTTCCAATAATATGGAATGCTTTAATCCATGGTATTGTGTCAGTTTCGCGGGATAAATAATTCATAATTTTAACGAAAATAACAGGATCAAGACGTTCAGTTTTTAACATGAAGAAGGCATCGTCGAGAATTTGTGCACGATTTAAAACTGGAATCTTGTCGTAATTATCAGAATTAAGAAAAGCAGCAATTCGTTTCCAGTTGGTATCGTCATAATTTACGCGATAAAATCCTTATTAGAAATAAAAATAAATAAATAAGAGATTAATTAAAAATTTTATTTGATATAATTAATTTATATCTATATTAATCGATATTTAGAAACATAATAATAATTATAACAAAAAGGAGCAATATAAAATAATAAATCCAATTAATCTATTATATTAACATTACATATTTACCTGTTAGATGTTTGTTTACAATAATCCAGTCATTGGTGTCTACACCTTCAATTGTTAAATCTTCGTGCGGTTTTAGCCAATGAGTAGCCAGTGTAGATGAAAAATCTAAATTACTTTCCGTTGCAAAATTTAAAGGAATCCACCATGATTCGTTCTTCTGACGGTCAGCTTTTTTAATTTCACATATTTCTTGCGTTACTTTAATTTCGCCTGTTACATAATCTCGATTGACTGTAACAAAAGGATATCCTCCTTGTTCGAACCAAGTATCCATTACTTCTTTTACTTTGAAATCATCATGCGGTATGTCAGACTCATTGAGGGCATCTTGTAATGTTTTCCATAAATCATCTGGTGTAGTACTACTGTATTCACTAGAAATCAATACAATATATGTTAAAATTTTTAATAAATTTTTAATAAATTAGAAAATTTCTTTGTCCCCTAATAACAATTTAACTTATATTTGAATTGTGCTTTTATTAATTAATTTCTTCTTTAACACGCACGTACACACGCATACAAAAGTGTGATTCATTTTAATTTTAATTTTAAAAGGCATACAGTTTGAAAAATATGTAAGATACAGGAAAATGTTTTAAACAAAAGTTTTATGACTTTAAGAGGGACATAAGACAGTGATTAGATTAACCTTGAATGTACCTGCCAACGTCATATGGAAGTCAACTTTATTTCTTTAAACACCCTAATACTAGTAACCCTCATTTTTTATTACATATTCTTGTAGCTGACTTTGAGAGCTTTTCGAAACACTGTAATAAAATATTTTTCTATTAAGTATTTTCTGAGTTATGAGACTTGACACACAATTTACATTAAGTATAAAATATCACGTAAACTGTTTTTCAAAAAGGATACGACATTGTATATTGTAAACATCTCTATTTTTCTAACAGCAACTATGTATCTTCTTTACACCAAATGATCTTATTATTTTGTGCGTAAAAATATTAAGACATCGTCGCCAAAAAATTAATAGTTTACGAAATATTTTACTTTATCAAATTGTATGTCAAATTCAAGCCTCATAACTCAGAAAATACTTAATAAAAAAATACTTATTATAATGGTTTAAAAGTTCACAAAGTCAACTACAAAAACATATAATCAAAAATTCTATTTCCATTTAAAAAACCAAGTTAATCTCCCTACAACCTTGTATATATACATCCAAGAAAAATCACTAGCATTATCTTATATTTCCCTCGAAGTCATAAAACTTTTGTCTAAAATGTTTCTCTGTATCTTCCATATTTTTTCAAATATTTGCCTGTTAAGATTAAAATAAATCACTCTGT